AATTGAATGAAATTTGACAAAGCCCCAAGGATGGTTTTTGACAAATGGGGACCCCATTTTCTTTTACCGGGAAGGAGCAGAGCATGAAATAAATTGACACCAGACCGGTGGTGCTTTTGACTGTTACGGTAGCAGCGTAATGGAAGGGATCAGGGAGCCGCGGAGCAACACGGGGGACAGACGGAGAGGAACGGAAGGGAAGCAGCAGAGGCCCACCTAAGGGGGCAAAGGGAATGACGAACCGCCCACACGGCACGCGAAGCGAAGGGGGGTGGGGGGGGGGCAGCGGCCGGAGTCGGGAGGGGTCGGGGGGTGGTTCGGCGTCGCGCGCTTACCCTTCTTTTTGCTTGCGAACGAGTGAGCCAATGCTCCTGTGGTCAGACAAGAGAGAGGGAGGAGCGGGGGCCGCCCGGGGGGCCGCCGCCCGTTATGCATTATCCATTAACGATTAAGCCGCGGAATCGCCAAATGTCACAACCGGTCAACCGAGGACCTAGTCCCTCCAAACCCTCTGAGCCGCCGTACCGCGTACGCGACGGATCTTACGCTTACGTTTGCTCAAGGGGGGGAAGCTGGGTGAATACGACACTCTGTCGCACTCACGGACTGAAGAGTGAAGTCAGGAGCTTGCCGGCAGCCCGAGACTGAACGACAGGGCCCGCACCGGGCCCTCACACGACTCTCGTGTGGCGTTCAGAGAGTTCGTTACACACAATGGGACCGCCCGTCCTCCTCAATTCGATTATCGGGACCCCCGGGGGTCGCTACATGCGCCTCGTCACTCCGGTACGCCATTCGCGGCTCCAGTCGCCCCAAGTCACCACGCTCCACGGAGGACTGTCCAAAAAACCCTCCTCCGTGACAGCAGGAGCAGCGTGATCGCAGTGCCGCTCGCAAACGTCAGGGGTCGTCCGAGGATTCCTCTAGGGCCCCCGCACGAAAAAAGAAAGCGGATCTCGCTAGTTTTCTAGCTAGTCGCCGACCACATCCACAAAGAACCCTGCACAAAGATCGCAAGGGCGGGGGCCTGTTCCTTTTTACCCATCCCACAGTAGAGAGGTGTCCGTTTTTATTTATTTATTTATTTTAGCGTTGTAGCGAGAATGGCGCCACGCAGCACGAGCGCACGAACGAATGCGTGGGAAGAATTCTTTTCTTCGCACGACACTGGGCACGGCGCTGTGCGCACTCGCTGCGCGTACGCGAGCCCACTTCGAAAATCCTTTTCTTCTCGTCATGTCAGCCCCGACGCGCCGCTCGCGCCGCCTCGCCCCCGCCGCCCCCGCCGCCACCGCCGCCACCGCCGCCACCGCCGCTCCCTCGCCGAGCACGCCGTCACCCACCCGCCTCCTCGACCTCCCCACGGACCTCCTCGTGCGCGTCGTCTCTCGCTGCGACCCCGCCGACATCGCTCGCGCCGCGGCCGTCTCCCTCCTCTTTCACGCCTCGCTCGCGAGGGAGGGCATCCGCTTGTGGGCGCAAGAGCGCGGCTACGAGCTGCCGGCGCAGCCAGAGGGCGAGGGCGGCGCCGTGCGGTGGCTGTGCTCCGCAGCGTTGCTGCGCGAGTCCAACCCGCCGGCGAGGGCGGTTGCAGGCAGTCGGCACAGCCTCTTCATTGACGGCGAGGGGCGGCTCTCGTCGTGCGGCAGTGAGGGAGTGGAGGGCGAGGAGGACGACGAGGACGACGAGGAAGATGAGGACGAAGTGGAGGTTCTAGGGCTCCTCGGCCACGGCGAGAGCGTGCTGCGGCTCAACACGCCGACCCGCCTCCCCTCGACGCTGGGCGGCCAGCGCGCCGTGAGCGTGTCGGCTGGAGTTGGCCATAGCCTCGCCCTCACCGCCGACGGCGCTGTCTGGAGCTGGGGCTATGGAGGCTATGGCAGGTTGGGCCACGGCGACGAGCAGCATCAGCTGCAGCCGAAGAAGGTCGAGGCCTTGGCGGGCCAGCGCGTCGTCGCTGTGTCGGCTGGAAGCAGCCACAGCCTCGCCGTCACCGCCGACGGAGCTGTCTGGAGCTGGGGCATGGGCAACTTTGGCGCGTTGGGCCACGGCGACCAGCAGCACCAGCTGCTGCCGAAGAAGGTGGAGGCCTTTGCTGGCCAGCACGCGGTCGCTGTGTCGGCCGCAGAGTTCCACAGCCTCGCCATCACCGCCGACGGCGCCCTCTGGAGCTGGGGCTGTGGTGTAATCGGCGGGTTGGGCCACGGCGAACAGCAGAACCAGCTGCAGCCCAAGAAGATCGAGGCCTTTACCGGCCACCGCGTCGTCGCTGTCTCGGCTAGAGTAGCCCACAGCCTCGCCATCACCGCCGACGGCGCAATCTGGAGCTGGGGCAGTGGAAACGCGGGCAAGCTGGGCCACGGCGACCAGCAGACCCAGCAGCTGCCCAAGAAGATCGAGGCCTTTGCTGGCCAGCGCGTCGTCGCTGTCTCGGCGGGGGGGAATTGCAGCCTCGTCCTCACCGCCGACGGAGCCGTCTGGAGCTGGGGCGGTGGACTCTTGGGCCACGGCGACCAGCAGGTCCAGTTGCTGCCAAAGAAGATCGAGGCCTTTGCTGGCCAGCGCGTCGTCGCTGTGTCGGCTGGAGAGTACCACTGTCTCGCCATCACCGCCGACGGCAGCGTCTTCACCTGGGGCGGTGGCGGCCTAGGCTGCCTAGGGCACGGAGAGGACCTGTCGAACCAGCTGCTGCCCAAGAAGGTCGAGGGGGCGCCCGCACCGCAGCTCTGACCTATGTAATTCTCGAGATGTAATTCACACCGTGCGTATACACGGCTCTCCGCACTCCGGCCTCGTGCCGTGGTTCCGCCGGTCCGGGCCGCGCGCACACAATCGTACAGTGAGAGATGCTTCTACCCTTATACCGCAATTAAAACCGCCCCCTTCCCAACCCTCTCAGGGACGGACGCATTTCCCCCCTTTCAAAGGCGGTTTCGAAGTTGATGAGACCTCGTCCCCCCCTCTCCAATGAAAAGCGTTTAAAAAGAGGCGCGGAACAGGCCGGAAGCGCCGCTTTTAGGCCCAGCCACCCGCTCTTGCAAATCAAGCTGCCGCCCAAACCGGGCCTGCTCGGGTTCGCCCCACGTGATCTGCTCGAACACATCCGACATTTCCGCCTTCCTCACCCAAGGGCGGGTCGCTCGGTCGATTGCAACGCCTGGTGGCCGTCGCGCATATCGCCAGCGGGTAGCCGCATCCCTCGTAATCAAACGAGGCGACCGATCCCTTGAGGAAAGTGGAGGGGGGGTCGGAGAACAGATGCACGGGCATCAGCGAGGCAAAGACCGCTCCCAGGTCAATCCAGTCCTTCTCTTGGCGCGTGGCCTGCCGCGGGGGCGTGTACAACCGAAGCTCGCTCGCGACAGCCTCACATGCGAGCGCTTCGGCTCGCTTGTACTTATAGCCTCGCCCCTCGACCGGATGGAAGACGCACTCAATGGTGCGAGTGCGCTCAGGAAACTCGGGAGCGAGATCGCGGAGGCTGATCTTGACCGTCACCGTCTGCGCGTTGGCTGGGCCATTGCCGACGGTGTTGATGTCGACTTTGAGCTGCAGCAGCCCAGCCAGCCGCTCAAGCTCTTGACGCGAATGTCCTCGCGCCGCCCCGGGGAACGGTGGCTGTGGCTTAGGCGGAAGCGGAGGGATTTGTTCTTGCAGGAGAGCAACGAGCCATTGCCAGCCCGCGACCGTGGGTTCGGAGATCAAGGCGCGCAACAGGTCTCTGGCATTCGACACAGGAGTGCCCATCTGTGGGTGGGCGCAAAGGGGTGCGTTCATGGGCACTTTTAGTTTGCACGAAGAAACTTAAACATTTGCTGGTCGGCCCTGCGCCTCGCCAGACCTGGGGGAGGGCGCCTGGGTCTAAATTTAGTGCGGTGTGAAGTGTTTATCTACTGCATCTTTAGCGCACTTTAGCGCAACTTTAGCGCAACTTTAGCGCAACTTTAGCGCAACTTTAGCGCAACTTTAGCGCAACATTAGCGCGAATTTAGCGCAACTTTAGCGCATGGTTCGAATTTCTGGGTCTCGGTTCACCGATGGTTCGCGAACACATGGCACGATGCGGCCCGGGTACTTGTCGAGGTACGTACTATACTTCAAGTATAAGTGTAGTCGGGGCCGGGCTACAAGAGCTGTCAGTGCGTTGGAGTGCGTTGTGTTCTTGTTTCGTATCCGCTCCTTCACGGCGCGCTCCCAGTTTGCCTGCGCACTCTCTCACGGCCTCACGTGCGCGACAAAACGCGGACAACACACAAGCTACGCGTGGAACCGTGCATGCGCAGAGAGAGAGTGGTGGTCGGGAGGAGGCGCGAGAGCAGCGTGCGCGCGGGAGTGGCCAGTACAGCGTGGCGACAGCACTGCCGGCTGCTGGATCGTAACTTGATCTCCGAAAGCGTGGTTGACCGTTCAAACCCCTGGGAAGACGTAAAAGAATTTAAACAAAACAACTCTCTCTCACAGCACACAGGCTCGACACGTAAAAGAAAGGGGGGTTTTCGCAAAGGTGCCGAGCGGGCAAAAGGCCGAGCGTCGGCAAGCCAGCCGCCACTCTCTCGGCCGTCCCTCTGGACCATGCCTCCGAAGCGCAAACGGCAAGCCGGCAGGGCAGGCAAGCCGAAGCCGGCAAAGGCGGCAAAGCACGCCGCAGAGTCGGCAAAGGACATCTATCTCACCCTCCTCCAGCAGATCCCTGCCGCGCAGCTCGAGGTGCTGCAGCGAGCGCTCGGGAAAGGAGACGCCTCGCTGGGCATGGAGGACGTGTTCGCGGCGCTGGGCGTCCTCCGGGTGGCTGGCGCCGTGTGGGGGCTCCTCGGCCCACCGGCGTCTTTCCACAAGCTCAAGATCTTCAACACGGTCCTCGGCCTCGACCTCGAAGACGTGGAGCTGCAGCACGCGCTCGGGCCACGCGGCCTCCTCGCCGAGGCGTGGGAGGGCCTCGCCCCCGCGAAGCTGCGGCGCTGCCTCGCCTTCGTGTCGGTCATGTACGCGTTCATGAACGAGGCGCAGCTCTCTCTCATCCTGTACGGAGAGCTGGGAGCGGCGACGCACGGCGGTCGGGCGCGGGAGGCTCTGCTTCGAGGCGACCTGGGGCAGGTCGCGGCGCTGCTCGAGGACATGCAACAAACGGCAGCGCTGCGCCCTGACCCGAGCTCCGCGGTGATGCGCTCCGACCGCCTCACGCCTGGCCCGTACCCAACGATGGGTGGTGCGAGCATCTAGATACACTCGCCCGTACGGCCCCTGCTCCAGGCTCGTACCTGGCATCTAGATACACTCGCCCGTACGGCCCCTGCTCCAGGCTCGTACCTCCGACGGCTCGCTGCGGGGACGGGCGAGCTGTCAGACACCGCCGCCGGGCTGGTCCTCGACCTGCTCGGCTCAAAGGCGGCGTCCAAGGTGACCTTCACCGACTCCGTCGGCCTGCGCGCCGTCGAGCGGGCCGAGGGCGCGGGCGAGCGCGCCATGCGGTCTCCTCTGCCCATGCCGCAGGGCGGTAAGGGCACGGAGGCGATGGCAAGTGCGCTGGGCATGGACAAGCCGTCGCTGCTGCGCGCGCTGCGCGGGCACGACTGGGGCGCGTCGGCGGACCGGTTCCTGGACGGCTGGTCACTCGCCGACGGCGACCGGGCACTGCTTCGGCGCCTGCTGGGCGCGCGGCACGAGAGCCGCGACTTTCGCCAAACCCGTCTGCTTGCCCCTGCCTTGAGCTGGCGCCCGCCCCGCCGCCGCAGGCTGCCCGCGCGACACCGAGGTGGAGAATCTCGCGTGCGAGCTGAACCGACACCGCTCCCTCTTCTGGGGCGAGGGGCGGAAGTGGAACAACTCGACCAAACACGCCTCGCCCTCCACGTACGACCTCGCCGCCGCGCGGGCGATGGTCGAGCGCGCGGCGGACCTCAACGGGCGGATGCGGGCGGCGGCGTGATTGGGCGCACACGCGCGCGCACACGCACACACGCATGATGTCGAATCCAGGGTTCGTGAGTAAAATTTCACCCTTTCCGACTTCCACATGTGAATTCATGTCGCGCGCGGCTCGCACTCGTGGCACGCAGGCGTCCGACAGACGGCGCCGGGGCTAGGCGACCGAAGAGGAACTACGGCAAGAACCGCACACCACCCGCTGACGAGCGCTCGCGGAACTGGTCCGCGGCGCCCGCCAGGGGCGTGCGCGAGACAGGGGCGCGGAGCCCTTTTCTGTGAGCAGGGATTCCCTCCCGGCGGGGGTCGTGGCGGAGAGCCGGCATGGGAATCGCCGGCCACCAACCCGAGCCCTAGTCTGGCCGGTTTTTTTGCGGTATCTTGATGTATCTCTCCATATCTGACCATATCCCGCCATATCCCGCCATATCCCGCCATATCCCGCCATATCCTGCCGTATCCTGCCCGCCTCGCCCGGCCTCTCCGCGCTCCGGCCGCAGAGCGCACTTGCGGCCGCTCGGCTCGGGGGGGGGGGGGGAGGGAGCCGCTCAGTCGACCTCCTCGACGGCTCGGTGAACTCGGAAGAGATGCAGCAGTCCGCGTTTGCCTTGGCAATCGCGGCGGTCATGGGGGCTCCGTATCTTATCATATCCGCGTGTATCTCCCGGTATCCCGCCATATCCCGCCATAAGATATCCCGCCATATCCCGCCGCGGATACCGCGAAAAAAAACCGGCCAGACCAGGGATCACCCAGGACGCGGCTTCCCATGGTGGGGCACAGTCCGGCCATCCACGCCGTGCTTCTCAACGACGACCTGCTCGAGCTCGTCGTCAAGGCCCTCGTGGCGACCACAGACAGCGGCGCGTGCGGCATCCCATTGGCCAAGCTCGCCGGCGTCTGCACCTTCACGCACAGCGCGTCGCGACGCTTCTTCCGGTGCGCGGTCATCGCCGACTTTGCGGGCTTCCGCCAGTTCAGCCTGAACACCCTGCCAGCGTCGACGGTGTGGATCTCGCCACGCGAATTGGGGACCCTCGCGACAAAGGGCATCTGCTGCGTCAAGGGCACGGCGTGCAGCCTGCCGCTCGGAGTCCTCTCCTGGGCCGACCACCGCTTCGGTGACTCAGACCTGCGGGGGCCACGCCGGCGGCAGATCGCCAGCGGCATGGGCTTTGGGATGCAGCCGGCGCCCGCACCAGTGCCTGGCGGCCCTGGTTGGGCGCAGCATGCCTCGCTCGGAATGCCTCCGATGCCTCAGGCGCCTCCACCGCCTCCGCCGATACCGCCGGCCACGAATCCGTTCCTCGCCGCACCCTTCCCGCTCGGGGCGACGCCAGCCGCACCGCCGTCGCAGCCGAGGCCGCCTCCCACCCCCGAGGCGCAGCGTGCGGTCATGAAGGAGCTGGCGAGGCTACGGCGCGACGTCGAGGCTGCGCGGCGCACGTGCGTCGCCAGCGCCACCACCGCCGCTACCCAGCTCGCGCCGGAGACCACCGGCCCCACGGCGGGGCAGGGTCCGCTGGACTCGCGGCTGTAGAGGATCTGCGTCGAGGTCGCGCGCTCCCGCGGCATCACGGTTCGCGAGGTGCCCCTTGTCCGCAAGGCAAACTTAGCGATGAAGGCGCTCGGGCTCGCCTGCGACAGCTTGCTGGCAGACAGCTTGAGCCTTTCCACCAAGATCGAGATGATGGAGGGCCACCTCTTTTACCACGTCGCCCGGTCAAGCTCTGCGCCGACGGCGGCTGCGCAAGAGGCGGCGAGCGCGCCGTCGCCGGCCCCCAAAGCGGCGGTGGTGGAGGCGGAGGGGGTGGTCGACGTTGCGGTGGATGAGTCGGACCTCATGACCTGGACCGTCCAGATGGCAATGCCTCGGGACTCGCCTCTCGGCGCAGACCTCGCCTCCTACGCCGCGGCCGTCAGGGGGGGCGGCGGTAGCCTCGCCGCCACCGCCCCCCTCGCCGCCACCGACGCGCCCGCCACCGTGACGCTCGAGGTCGAGATGCCGCCCAACTTCCCCGCGGCGCCGCCCTTTGTGCGGGTGGTCGCGCCGCGCTTCGCCTTCCACACGGGCCACGTCACTGTCGGCGGCTCGGTCTGCACGGAGCTGCTCACATCGGCGGGGTGGCGCCCCGAGTACACCCTGCGCAGCGTGCTCGTGCAGGTGCGCGCCGCGATGATTGCGGGTGGCGGTCGGCTGGACCCGCGCCGGCCGCAGGTGCCATACTCGAAGGACGAGGCGCGGCGGGCCTTTTGGCGGGTGGCGCAGCAGCACGGCTGGGAGCGGCCCGGCTCAGGGCATTGAGGGGTGTGCGGAGGTGCGGGGTGCTGCGCCGGCGAGTCAAGCGCCTCGATGGCTGTAAAGCACCATCGGGCTGTAGCGCGCTCGCCGTATTATCGGGGAGGTATTGAACGATAGCGGTCACGCCGTAGCTCGCGCATAGAAGCAGGAAGCCAGGCGGCCGAGCGAGAGCACTCCGTCAACTGACCCGCTTAGGCACGTGCTGCCCATCCTCTGCAGAAGCTCGGCGACAGTGTAGGACCCGGCGGCGACCACCTCGTGCCGCACGCCGTCGACGACGATAAGCAGTTTCATGCTTTGCGGGGGCAAGCCGGCAAGCGAGGAGAGCGACCCCAAAAAAGAATTGTTGCAGCCGGCCTCTCTCACAGCACAAAAAGAATAACCGACGCCGGGCAGAGCTGAGTTCAAACAGCGCCTGAACGCATGGCGTTCAGGCGGCACTTCTCTCGCGTCGGCTCCGCCGAGCGCTGCACAGAGACCATCTTCACTGACCACCAACGACAGGTGTGCGACTACGCGCTCGTCTACGCGGAGAAGAAGAACGACGGCGAAGCGCCGTACTCGGTCTCCTTCGCGGCGCGCGCGCGCACGCACACACGCCGCGCGGTAGATGTCGCCGACTTTTAGCGATGTCGCGAGCAATAGCAGAGACCATCGGGTTCAGCAATCTGCGATCGCGCTGCCCAAGCACTGGCAGAGCGCATCGCACACGCTGCCGAGATCACAATCGCCTGCGTCGACCTCTGGCAAACCAAAGTCACCTATTCAGCGTCAATTTCGGTGCTGTGTCACCGCTGCTTCCAAGCCGATGTCACTCCGCCGCCCAAGTACCGCCGCCCATCTCCAAGCCTGCGGAGTCCAGGCCGTCCGCGCCAAAGCCGCTGTCAAAGCCGCTGCCAACAGCGTCCCCCGCGCCGCCGACGTCGGGCAGCGAAGCGTCGGGCAGCGAAGCGTCGGCGAGGGATGCGTCGGGCAGCGTCCCGCCAGGCAGCAGGTCAAAGGCGCCGCCCGAGAGAACGTCGTCGGCAGGGACGCACGCCTGCGGGAGGCAAGGCGGGCGGGGGGGGTGGGGGCACGGCAACCTCCATGTACGCTCCCTCCGCGGCCTCGCGCTCTCGGCGCGATCTCTCGCGCTCTCGGCGCGATCTCTCGCACATATCTCTCATCTCTCGCACCGAGTAGTCCACGCCAGACGAGAAGAGAGACGGCTCGAGCATCGCCTGAGAGGTCGCAGTCTTGGGGAAGTCTCGCACGATCTCGGTGATCTCGCACGCTCTCAGCATCTCGGCGCCATGTCCAGCTGCGGCGCGGTGAAGATTGCGGTGGCGGCGGCGACGCCAGCAGCAGTGCCGACAGCGAGGGCGGGGCACAAGAACGACCCTCCCCCCCCCCCTCCTCCACCGCCACCGCCACGGACAGCAAAGCCGCCAGCTCCCGTCGCCTCCGCCGCTGCCAGCTTCGGCGGCGCCGCCACCGCTGTCGCCACCGCAACCGGAGTGGCTTCTGCCACCGCCGCCGCAACTGCCACCGCCGCCGCCGGCGGCACCGCCGCCGCTTGCGCCGGCGGCATGTGCGACTCCTCCCGGAGCGTGCTCTGTCGCGGCTCCGCCGTTGCGTCGAGAGACCACGCCGCGTCCGCGAGGCGGCGCAGCCGTGCCAGCAGCATCACCCGGCCCTCCGCCGCGTCCCCGAGGTGGCGCGAGGTGAGGGTGAGCCGGGCAAGCTCCTGCTCAGTGTCCGCGTTGACGAGCCGGACATACGCCTCGGACAATGAGTAGAAGGAGATGCCTGCAGTGTACACGTCAGCGGCGACCGCAAGCGCAGCGATGCGGTCGGGCAGCTGCGGGAGCCAGATGTAGATCCGCTCCTGGTCCACCAGCCCGCCCGCCCCTCGCTGGCCAGTGAGGATGTCGCCCGTGTGCACGATGGAGGAGGCGCCCGCCATGGCGCGGTGCTCGCCGTTGCGCAGCCGGCCATACCAGATGGTGCTGCCCTCGTCCCGCGAGCCTCCCGCCTCGTACCCGACCACGGAGCAGTCGAGGTCGACCGGCGAGGCGATGCCAGGCGCGTCCCGCCTGAGGTAGTGGCGTGAATGTGAGAGGCTTGGGAGGCGGGAGTGAGCGCGGGCTTGCCCTCACCAGCCGAGGCCAAGATAGACCCGCTCCAGCCGGCCGGCCTGCGCTCCAACCGGGAGCCGGACCGCCTCAGCAGGAGAGAGCGCGACGACAACCGGGATGCCCTCCGCGACCGGCGCGACGTCATCGTCGAGCTGCTTGGTGTAGGAGTGGCCGCTGAAGTGCATATGTGTATTATGCGCTCTTCCTGCGCGCGCCGGCTTTGTTCGGCGGATGTAGCAAAAAAGAATCGGCTGCGTGCGCGGTGCGGTGCGGCGCTGCGGACGCGTGCGGGTGTGTGCGTGTCATGACTCATGTGGCTACAGCAAGTCCAAGTGAGAGAGAGACCATGAGAGAGATTTTTAGCAATCCAAACGAGACCATCCGTCTGTATTATTATTAACAACGTCAACGAAGGCGCTCTCAAAAAAGAATTTTACACAAATTTATATTGCCTTCCGCGTTAAAATCCCTGTGTGGTGTGGCGGCGTGCCGTGGTAGGGTGCCCACAGGACCCAAAAAAAGAAAGGAAAAAAGAAATGGGCCGCTCCCGATCGCAGCACTTCGTGTTGGAGAGTCGAGATATTGAGAGTGTGACTAGGAGGGTGGGACGCTGGGGATTCTCAAAGGTATACCCTTGGAATGGCCGGATCCGGCCTTAAGAGTACGAGATCGCGCGCGCTTCGCGCGCTGCACCGCCTATTCTCCGCGGCTGTGTGACGACGCGTGCCGTGTGCCAGTAGAGTTGGGCGCGCGCGGCGCGACGGCGCCCGCGAGGGAAGGCGCGGGTGCAGCGGCCGCCGGCGGCCGTACCGCCCGCCAGCCGGCGCAGCAGCGGCCAGCGCAGCGGCCGCCGGCGCAGCAGCCAGAGCAGCCGGTGCGCGCCTTGTGAGGCGAGTACTGCCGCCCGGCAGCCTCGAAGCGGCCGGGCGGCAGTACTCGTTCGAACTTTGCGAGCCGTGCGCGCGCCGAGGCGCCCGCGGCGCGCGCCCGCCCGGCTGCCAGTAGGAGGCGGCGCAATATGGCCTATAGTACAGCCCTTGAGGAGGAGGAAGAGGCTGGCTGGCAGTGCTGTATGCCGCCGAGGGGCAGTTTTGGGGTGCTGACCCACGCCCAGGGGGCTGCAGAACGCGTCCGCAGCGGGGACAACCCGCCCCCCCAGTCGAGGCCGGTCGAAGCCCACTTGGGAGCAGCCATGAGGAGTCCTCTTGGTGCTCCTGGCGGCCGTTGGAATGGCGAGCGCGCGCCGATGGGGGGGGGGGGGGGTCTTGCTTGCTCCACACCGAGCGCCATCGGTCCGGACCGGTGCTCCCACCGAGGGTAGGCCTGCACAAGGTCTGAGCCGCGGGCGCTCGGCGCCAAGTGCAGTGTCACGCTCGCGCTGGAGCGGGTCACAATGGGAAACCCTCGTTTCCTATGAACTCGGTCCCCCAACGGAAGAGGCCTCTCTCCTATTGGAACAATCCAACATCAGATTTGCCTCGTGCGTCCCTTTTTGAGCCGGAAAGCTATTTTCTTTTGGGTCCTGTGGGCACCCTAGCCGTGGCCTCCCATCCCTCCCTTGCGTTGTTTTTTCGCCTTTGTCTCTTGGTTTCCCCTCCTATGCGCCACTCAGCCGCCCCCTTGGGAGCTCGCCTTCCGCACGGCCGCGAGCACCTCTCGCGTGCTCCTGTCGGACAGCGCGTCGCTGAGGCTCGCCGGGGGGAAGGCACCGGGCTGGCCGCGGCACTGGCTCGCCACCGCCTCGAGCCACGCAGCCATGGGCGGGTCGGACTGCCACCGCAGCGCCGAGTGCCTCTGCCGCGCCGCCTCGCCGCGCACGACGCAGATCTTCCGCTTGGTCACCGGGTCGATGAGAGGCTCGAGGGTGCGGTAGAGGGCGTGGAAGAGTCGCGGCGGGTCGAGGAGCACGATCTCTGCCAGCCGCTCCGGGAAGTGGTTCGCAAACATCGGCAGCGCGGTCGAGCCCATGCGCGGGTTCATGTCTACTCAACGAATTGTCATCTTATTAGGTCGCCGGCATCCTGCACGGCGGGCGCCGAGGAGGCTGTGATCCTCTCATCCCAAACCCGCGAAAGTCGATGATCCAGACATACCTGCCCGCTGCCGCGCCTCCGTCAAAGAGTCGCTCGAGCTCGAAGGCCATGTGCATGCAGTTGTCTCGCACGGTCTTGTTTGAGGCGCGCCCGGCGGCGCGCGAGTCGTCCCCCACGCGCATGAAGCAGTGCGAGCGTGGGTCCGCCTGACCACAGGCAGTCTGGAGCCGTGAAGAGCTCAAATGCAGCCCGATGGCCAGCCCGCCGGCACATCTCGGCCCGGCATCTCTGCTACTCTCGCCTCGCAGGCCTCGCAGCGCGGCAGCCCTCCTCCCTCCCCGCAGGCGGGAGCAATGTGTCGCCGCCGCCACGCCAGCGTCGCCTCGAGCATGATGAAGGCGAGCTGCTCGTTCCCTGTTGACGTGTGGTGGACGTGTCGTGGAAGTGTGCTCCCTGACGCAATAGAGGAGCGCTGCTCGTCGCCGTCTCGCGCGCGCAGGTAGCGGAGCAGCGTCTCCTCGGAGAGGAAGCGTTGCTCCGACTCGGACAGCGGCGAGAGGTCCGAAGCGACTCGCCTGAGACGGGTATGGAGAGGGCTCAAGCGGGACGCGAGGCGGGGGTCGCGAGAGCTCGCTGTCGTCTTGCGCCGCTGGAGGGAACCGAGGTGCGCTAGTGCGAGCCGGTGCCGCTCCTCCTCCTCAGGCATCTTTTCTGCTAATTGTCCGGCCACCGCCGCAGGCATGGCACCAGCAGCTTCGGCAGAGGGATCGCACGCGCCGTCGAGGGCGCCAGTAGCGGCTGGAGGGTCGCACAGCTCGGGAGTTGCCGGCCGTGAGCGGAGCCAACGCATAGACACACGTCGATGAAGGCGAAAAAAGAAATTCGCTTCGGTCGAGGTCTCCCATCCCCCCCTTGTAATCGCTAATTTTTTCTTTCTCTCTCGGGTGTCACAAAGCCCCCGTGCACGGCGCGTTCTTCCTCGTCGTCATCCCGTGCAAATGCACCCCCTCCTCTGGTGGGCCGCTGTCGCCGTCGCCGCCTGGTGCTGTGTCCAGGTCGTCGCATGCGTTGTCGGACGCTGCCTGATGGGCCGCAGGCCCTTCCCTGATTGCGGCGGCAAGGCGCGTCACGGCTGCTGCCTGCCCACGACCGCCGCTGGCGGTGCGCCCTCTCACCGTCAACCGGCTCCGCAGGTGACCACCGTCCGAAGCGCGCAGGAGTGGGAGAGCCTCCTCGCCGCCGCCGCCGCCGCAGGCGAGCGGGTGCTGATAGACTGCTACGCGACGTGGTGCCCGCCCTGCCGCACGGCGGCGCCCGCCTTTGCCCGGATGAGCTACCAGTACGCCGGCTGCCGCTTTGCCAAGCTGGACGTCGACGCCGCGCGCGATCTGGCGGCCTCGCTGCAGGCGCCGCTGGTGACAGGCTGGTGGACGCTGCGACGAGGGCTGACGGGCGGCCTCCTGCTCCTCTGCAGGTGCGCGCGATGCCAACCTTCCTCCTGTTCGGCGTCCCCGCGCCCGGCTGCCCGCACATGGTCAAGCTGGACGGCTGCCAGGGTTGGGATGAGGGGCGGGTGCGTTCGCTCCTCGAGTCGCGCGGCGTGGCGCGGCGGCCGATCGCGGAGGCGGAGGCGGAGGAGGAGGCGGACCGCGCCGCCGCCGCAGCCGAGTCAGACTGCTGCGAGGGGGAGCGGTGTCGGCTGGTGAAGTCGCCGCAGGACCACGTGTGACCGGAGCGGAAGCGCTGATGCGGAACCGGGGCAGTGAGCCTTGCATTTTTCATGTTCTCCCCGCTGCGAGTGGATTCTTTAAATAAAGCCGTTTCGGAGACTTTTACTGATACTGTACGTAGATCGTAGTCACTAGTCTGAGAGAAAGTCTGTACTGATGGACCAGTATATGGAGTAGGCTGTGTAGAGCTATCAAACGTTAAGAGCTGAACAGTGTTGCTAGTGTTAACAGTAACAACACAGTCAACAGAACAACAGAGTTGTCAAGTCAAGACGAACAGTTGTGCTTGTGCTGGGCTCCCCAACAACAGTATAGCTAACGTTAGGGGGGCCAGCTGAAGCACAACAATAAGGAAGGGGCCTTGCTACCACAGTGACCCACGACGATCTCCAGCGTCCAGTGGTACCAGTGGCAGTGCGGAGGTAATACCCGAAAATACCTGGAAATGCCCGGGTATTTTCGGCTTTTACCCGGTTTTGGGGCATTCTCTGCTGAACAACAGACAAACAGTAACAACAGAACAAACACAGTAACAGCACTTGGAGCACTTGGAGTGCAGTCATCAACCGCACATCCAGGGCCGGGGAGCTCAGAAGCGCACCCAGCGGGCCGGATGATTGGCATCGGGTTACGGGCTAGAGAGCCCTAGCCCCGGGGGTGCGCGTTCGCAGGGCAAGGGCCTTAAAGCACGTTGAGGATTTTTTGTAACACGGTGATTGATTGATGGGAAGGCGAAACACAGTCCGACCAACGACTGGGACACCAACGCGGTATGGGTGGACGCAGGACGGGCGATGACGGTCACACAGGAGCGACACACAGAACCACAAGACAAGACACTACACTTACCCTCGATTTCCGTGAGGAAAGTATTGGGGATCTCCAAATCAACGTCGTCGAGCCTTCGAAATGCGTTTACAGGATCACCCTCACGGGTTCCGTTGAGGATTTCGGCCTTGCGTCGTGTGACTGAATGATCAGTGGCGGCATCGGCGTCGATATCCCGGGAGCTGACTGCAATGCAGGCTTTCCGCCATTGCCGCCGGTAGCGCTGGGGGCCTGGGAGGCGGTGGCGCCGATGGCGATGGCGCGGAGCGATCTCCGGCACTGTGTGCTCTATCCGTGGGTATATTTTTGGGCTATCTCTCCTCAAAAACGATGTCGGGATAATGGAGGCAACGCAGGGACGGGCCAACAGCCAGAGGGACGAACGAGGGCCGCGACGGCGGCTCAAGCGGGAGGGAGCGGAGACGGTGGGCAGAGAGCGAAGTGGGTGAGACTGATGATGCTCCTTCGACTTAGGGAGCGGTTCAGATGCTGGGCGGGCTTCAGGCTGGTGCTCACGCGAAAAGGAATCGACGCGATGTGCAAAGCATACAAGAAGGGGAGAGGGAAGAGGAGAGACGCCGGTGAGGACGAAGC